CAAGCCAGAGTTGAGTTAAAGGGAAATAACTAACGCCTCCAGAAAAGGCATGGCACGCGGAACGAGAGCAATCTACCTTTGTGGACGAAATAAAGGGTTTGTAAATTCCACTCATCGAAGAAGGCTGCGTATATACGCATATATATATATATATATATATATATATATATATATATATATATATATATATATATATTTGGTTGATAGATGTTAGCTCTATCTCTGATATTGAGCGCTATATAATATATAAATAATTATATATTTATATACACACACTTTTCACACACACACACACACATACATACACATTTTTAAAGATATTTTTGTAGGTACAAAATTTAATGATCGAAATAAAAAGTGTAAAATTTAATATTACAAGACATATTAAAACAATATTAAATAATAAAAAAAAAATCAACAACAAGGGGATGTGGGAAGCAACCGGTTTCGATCCCGCTCTTCAAAATTAAAACAGAGAAATGTACAATAAGAATAGGTGGAGAAAAAAAAAATATATATATATAAAGTGAGTTCCAATAACTTGGACCGATTTTAAACTTAATTCACATTTAAAATCGATCCAAGTTATATGTATATATATATATATTGATGCCGCAGTCTGTTTCATGTATTTATCAGTGTTTATCATGAACTGGACTGTCGCCTCTAAATGCTGATTTCAATGTACACTTTTATAATTACATACGCTCTGTTGTTGATTTTGAGAACTTTAACCCAGAAATATAGTATACCTAAAAACTAGATATTCGAGATGAAAATACCTCGGTTATCTAACAAAATGTCGGTCCTCGAACAACATTACCGAACCGAGCCGAACTGAGCCGAACCGAGCCGACCGAGTGAACCCGAACGTAGCATTTCTTAGTCGACCGCCATGTTGTATATATTCGTTTGTTGTGCTGTGCTTTTCTTTTCCAATTTTATTACACTGTGCCATTTTATTCCTCTTCATTAGTCCTCAGCCATGGCTCCAAAGAAAAGTAGCGGTGATAATGGTAAAGGAAAAAGAAAAGTTAAAAGAAAAACAATTGTTGATAATATTGTCTCTATGATGATGATATTGTCTCTTCCTGGTTTCATATGGCAAAATCAACGATTTATACACTATTCTTACAAATAAACAGACGATCATGTCTTTCCTTCCCCTTTCCAAACAATAACACCTCTTTCCTTCCCCTTGCACTTACGCCATCAATTCTCCGACATGCAGGTATGGTAAAATTGATGTGTTCGTCTATATTTTATCTGGTGTAGTTTTGGGTTTATAGATTTTTTTTTCTTAGATTTAATGATTTTCATTAGATTTATGGATAATCTGTTTTTCATATTTTTTTGTGTATAAACTTGTTCACAAAGCACTGTTGTTAAATAAGCAATTATCTTGGGACCAGGAACAGATTAATCCATTTTACATTGATTCCTATTGGAAAAAAATAGTTTCGGTTTACGAACATTTCAGGGTTACGAACGGGCTTCAGGAACGAATTAAATTCTCAACCGAGGTTCCTCTCTCTCTCTCTCTCTCTCTCTCTCTCTATATATATATATATATATATATATATATATATATATATATATATATATATATATATATATATGTTATATATGTAATATACATATATGTAATATATATATATATGTATGTAAGATATGTAATATGTATATGTAATATGACGAGATATATACATATATATATGTAAGACGACGATATATATATATATATATATATATATATATACACTGCGTGCCAAATTATTATCGAGATAATTGTTTTTCTAATATTTCTAAAACCGTCCAATCAATTCACACAAAATTTTCACACAGTGTTGGCAACAATGACCTGCGCAATCACAGAAATTTTCATACTGATCTGCGCTATGTAAAAAAACTGGAGCCATATTTGTTGTCAGCACGGTGATTTGAGCGTGTCAAATTATTAGAAAAGTGTAAGAAACTCTCTAAATGTAAGCGGCTAGATGAAAAAAAAAAACAAACAAATTCTTAATTCCCCAGCACCCCCCTTGTACCAACGCAACAGATTTAGTCCGATAAATTCCTGAAGGACGAAAACCATTACAATCATATTTTTACACACACACACACACACACATACACACACACACACACACACATATATATATATATATATATATACACAGTGCTTTTTGATAAAAGTGACTCACCTGATTTTTTTTACAAATTATTCTCTTCTCCGATGAAACGGAAGTTGAGCTAAATTCAAAGGATAAGCGATCTAAAATCCGAAGAAGAAGCTTTGAAAGCTCTTTGAATTTAGCAGTAAGTAATGTCAAGCATCCATTCAGTATAATGTTCTGGGGATGCTTTTCTTTTCAAGGAACTGGTTTCTTAAAACCTATTGAAAAGACCCTCACGAGCGATCAGTACAAGAGAATTTTAGAGTCTTGTCTGCTCCCTTCTGCTGAAAGGGTGCAAATCGACCCCACCAAGCTCATTTTTAGGCAGGATAATGTTCCTTGTCACAAATCAAAATTGATGAAGGAATACTTTGATGAGAAGCAGGTGAGTGTTATGACATGGCAGCCCCAATCTCCTGACCACAATCCCAATAGAAAACTTACTGGCTCTCGAGCAAGAAGTTGAGAAACAAAGAGGATTTGATTGTGAATTTCATATCCGAATGGAATTCAATGCTTGGAGATGAGATTAGCCAGAACCTAATCAAGTCAATACCAAAAAAACGTTATTCAAAATAAAGGAGGACCCATAGATCTTACTTATTATAAAACGCAGATTGTGTGTGTGTGTGTGTGTGTGTGTGTGTGTGTGTGTGTGTGTGTGTGTGTACGTTTATATATTGGATCGGATTTCCTACATTTTTCAACCGATTTCAACAAAACTTCACTTATTTTTGGCAGGTAGTGTTTCTTATTGTCTTGCACATTTTTTTCTTTATTTTTACATTCAGAATGCTTTAAAAATTCCATTTACAAGACAATTGTTTATAATAAAATTCTGTTCAATCGATAGACTCATAACGATTGAAAACAATGTTTTTGTTTGAGTTTGGGTTTGACCAATTCTTAAAAAAAAAAAATATTAAAGACTAATTAAGAAATAAAATTGACAACGATTATTGTTTAAGGTTGACGGACACGCATGTCTTGATTAGTTTTTTTTTATTTTTTACGAATTGGTCAAACCCAAACTTAAACAATAATCTTTGTCAATTTTATTTCTTAATTAGTCTTAATTAGTTTTTTTTAGTCTTTATGATGGTCGATACTTATCTATCTTCTCACTGTTACATCCCCGGGCAACGCCGGACTCTACTGCTAGTTATTAAATATTTCGAACTATATTACCTATTATAAATAAATTATATCTCTATTATTCTTTATTTAAAGCTGTTCGGTTATGTTTCTATTGATTACTAGTTGCAGGAAATAAGTGAGTCACTTTTTTTGCATAGAGGTTTTCCCGAAATCTCATTTATATCCAAAATTATAATTATCAATAGAATACCTTAGGATCAGTAAACTTTTTTACTAGGTGGTCGGGAAGGAGTCTTTATATTAGTAAGATTAAAAATTAGTTTGACCCCAAAAACAATAGGCGAAAAAAATTTTAAATAAAAAAAAAAATCAGGTGAGTCACTTTTATCGAACAGAACTGTATATTGCAATGAAGCAGTCATGCAAATATTAAATTAGTAAGGTTAATGTAATAAATGGCGAATTCACTTCGCTAACAATTTTAAAAAAGTATCAACCCGCTAACCACTCGTTGAATGATGCGATCCATGTTTTAGATGTTCCGTATGTTCTATAAATATGCTAGTACTTTCGATAAGTCATCCAATCATCATCAGTTATACTTAAAAAAAACGGTAATATCCATGTATGGATTTTTGCTCTGTAGCCCTCTACCTCGAGTAACTCTTGGGCCTTGTGAAGGTTAAACATTAGGATAAAAATGTCGAGATAGCAACGATGAAATCTCATCATAATAATTGCCATGAAAATATTTTCAGAGACGGCACGGAGAAGATATGTGATCTGGTGAGGATATCATTGTAGCCGAGATGACAGGCAAGACTGATAACATTGCAGATTTTTCATGTTCACATGCAGCATTTTAAATGGTATGATGATGAGACCTAACAGGCAATCTAGTATTATGTTCAAATTCCTGAATTCCCATGAAAGTAGTGTTGCAGTTTTTGGGGTATATATACTAGTGAGCCAGTCAAAATGAGCTGACTCATTTTATAGTTCATTAATAAAAGGGTTAACCAATCAGAAAGCGCAAAATATTCAATCCGACGTGTATAAAGGCAGCCATTTTGTTTTTTCTCCCAAAATATCTCCATTACCAACCTGATATCGAAGAATTACTTAACAGTGGCTACTTTCATTAAATCTTCACTGCCAAACTCTGATATTGAACACATTACGGACTTCACTGGATTCCATATTCAGAGTCTACGGCAAACATGGCCAACAAGTATCTTTAGAAAAGTCAGAGCTACGTTGAAAGAATGTGATTGAAACCGCGATACCATGTCAGACATGATAAAATTGCTGGGTTTTCTTAGAGATTTGACAATAAATCCCTAAATACATAGCAGAAGCACCAGACCAGGTTCGCCAACAATATTCAATACTCGTGCCAGTAGTAGAATTATACAAGAGCAATCTAGTAATATCTTCAAGGGTTTCAGATTCCTGGCGGAATTGATGCCTGCCGAACTGCTGCGTCTCACCAGGCTACAAAGTGTCCAATACGACACCAGGTACCTATCTCATTAATTTTGTCACGTCATGGTATAGTTAAGGAGTCGGTAGGATTTAATTTGCGCGCATAGATGTTCGCGTGCAATCCCCCACCCAGGGAATGGATTAATCATCTGATTGGCAAGCAACAAATTATTAGTTTCCCACACGCCAGATCCCAAACATACACACTTGGACGATCATTTTGTTTTTGACACTTCGTTATTACTTTACGAACGCCCTCGGGGCGATGATGGCGGCCAAATAGCGAAGAATCGGTAACATTCGGTTGGCTTCAGTTTTGTAGCAACAAGAACCCGAGAAGACGACGTTGCGATGCAACTCGGGGTGACAAATTGAACGTCGGAAAGAAATGGCGTTTACATATGTGGCTTTATATTGCAAAAGCCGGACAGTTGTCAGATAAAAGAAAGAAAGAAAGAAAGAAAGAAAGAAAGAAAGAAAGAACGTGGAAAATAAATAAGAAACAAAGAGAAGGGAGGGAATTAGGGGAGGGAAGTAAACTCGAGAGGGGGGTCGTGAGAAAGAAAGAAAGTGGAAAAAGAAAGAAAGCAAAAACAAATAGAGGGAAGAAAGAGAGGGAAAAAAGGATGGGGAATAATCACGAGAGGGGATCGTGTGAAAGAATGATAAAAAGGGGAACGGAAAGAAAGAAAGAAAGAAAGAAAGAAAGAAAGAAATAAAGAAAGAAAGAAAGAAAATGAAACAAAGGGTAGTATGGGAGAGTAGTAAACCCGAGAGTAGATCGTATGAAAGAAAGAAAGAAAGAAAGAAAGGAAGAAAGAAAGCACTTAGAAAAAGAAAGGAAAAAGAAACAAAGGGAAGTAAGGGAGGGAATTCATCCGCAGACCAGATCGTAAGAAAGAAAGAAAGAAAGAAAGAAAGAAAGAAAGAAAGCACTTAGAAAAAGAAAGAAAAAAAAAGAAAGGAAGTAAGAGAGGGAAGTAATCCCGAGAGCAGATCGTAAGAAAGAAAGAAAGAAAGAAAGAAAGCACTTAGAAAAAGAAAGAAAAAAAGAAAGAAGGGGAAGTAAGGGAGGGAAGTAATCCCGAGAGCAGATCGTAAGAAAGAAAGAAAAAAGAAAGAAAGAAAGCACTTAGAAAAAGAAAGGAAAAAGAAACAAAGGGAAAATAAGGGAGGGAATTCATCCGCAGAGCAGATCGTAAGAAAGATATATATATATATATATATATATATCAAGCGCCTGACTGAGCCTTCTTGGTTACACGTTTTCCCCTGACCTGAAGTGGAGCAACTGCATTGAATCTATAGCTGCATCTACTGCAAGGAAAGTTGGTTCTCTGTGTCGCGCCAGAAGTTTTTTCTCATCTGAGTCCATCCTAAATCTATCATTCATCCATGCATTAAATATTGTTGCCATATATGGTCTGGCGCCCCTACTGTTCATTTCGAAGTCCTCGACAAAATCCAAAGACGGACCTGCAATGTGATTTGTCTTGACTTGGCATCTCGATTCCAGTCACTTTCTCACGGACGTGATCTGGCTTCCTTCTGTCTTTTCTAAAAATATTTTCATGGCAACTGCTCTGACGAGCAATTTTTCTGGTACCCCGACTGCATTTAGGTCCCACCCTTTTACTGTTAAAATAGTTAAATTTAACCGTTTATCCCCCAACAGCTTTTTCTCTTGCACTTCCGACAGTGGAGCACCCTTCCTCTTACTTACTACCCCAATAATTACAGACATCAAAAATTCAAATCATATGTGTCCTCCGACAGGAATCGAACCTGTATCCCGCATGGAACCGTCATATAGCCTGACAGGCTATACCATTTAACTGCAGAGAAAGCGTCTGGTTAGCAAAGTCATATTATTTCTATGAAATTTCTCGGATATTTATGGCGGTAAATGTTGTTAATACTGTTTATTATAAACAGAGCATTTACTTAAATATTTCTACCTATAAAGATATCGTATAAAAGACAAATAAATTAAAATAACTATCGGACTTAGTCCATTTCATAATATATAATGTCATTTGTTTAGGTTAAGATAGGCTTCGAGCAGATATAAGCCTTCGAGAAAAATCATGGGAAATTTATAGTTTAAAAGCAGTAATTTGACTTTTCTAAGCAGACGCTTCCTCTGTTGCTAAATGGTATAGCACGTCAGGCTATATGAGGATTTCGTAAAGGATACAGGTTCGATTCCTGCCAGAGGATGCATGTTTTCTGTGAAATTTCTCGGACATTCAGGCCTATAAATGTTGTGAATACTGTTTACTATAAAAAGAGCATTTACTTAAATATTTGTATCTATATAAATAACGTATAAACAGAAAATATATTAAAATAATTATCGAACTTATTTCATTTCATAATATATGATTTCATTTGTTTACGTTAAGATACACTTCGAGCAGATATGAGCGCTCGAGAGAAATCATGGGGAATTTGTAGTTTAAATATAGTAATTTGACTTTGCTAAATAGACGCTTCTCTTCTAGTAAAATGGTATAGAATGCGAGACTATATATATATATATATATATATATATAATACGATTAAAGTGGGTTTATAGAAGGCTTTTTGTTGAATAATAAATGCTGTTTCCACAAAAACACTAATGTTGACTAAAAACTAGGCTAAATAGATCTCACCAGTAATATAACATATGCGAAAAAACAAATTCCCTCGGGAAAAATATCCCCCTTATTTTTTTATCTCTCGTCTCGTTGATAAAGGACGCAGGCGTGTCTGAAAATTCCGATTTTTAACATCTTTTTTCATCATGCTTCTATTTGGTCAAAAGGTTTAGTATTATACAACATATATTATTAGTCGTATTATCAATATTATTATTCTTTTGTTTTTTTTTATCTCATGAATTTCTTTCATCAGCCTGGATATACGTAGACAATCTTTTTTAACTATCTTATATATATATATATATATATATATATATATATAAAGGATAAGAAAACAATATGATATAACAAAACAAATACAGAGAATAAAAAAATAATAATTTTGGTTATAAGAATAAAAAGAGACACGTAAATGAATTAAATGTCTAAATCTTCTGTAAAGAATTCTGTCATGTCGTAGAATCAAACAGAAGCCATTGACAAGTTTTCGCATTTGTTTCCGGCTAAGCCTTCAATGACTATTTTGTCAGTTCATTTGTCTTCTGGGTAATAGTTTGCTGACAAGAAACACGTCACGGACACGTGGCATAGTGGAGAAAAACGTTGGTTAGATTCAGTGACAAGGCTCAAAGAATGTGAGTTCAATACCCGGCTAAGGCAGTGGAGAACTTGGAGAGGGGAATTAAGAGGAGATAACTGATAACTGACATCCATTAAACATGGCACGTGGAACTAGAACATTCTACCCCAGTGAGCAAAATAAAGGGTTCAGTTTGACATTCCAACCACCTGAAGAAGGCCGGAGCGTACAACGACCGAAACGTTATAATAAATATGGGGACAAAGATGAGGACAATAGTCCGAATAATCTAAATAATGTACATAATGCCTCATCTCAGAAATATAAACAGATGCATAAATGCTTATTTTATTTTTTTTTTATGTCGAATATATAGTAATTTGCCGACAATGTTTCTGGAGATCGCGTGAAACTCTAGTTACGTCTAGGGCCATTCTTTCACAGAATACAAGGCGCGGTGTGTAAATTGTCAGCGTTGTGCGTTGTTTCGTTTTAATTCTGCCAACAACACAGTATAGTTGGGCAGCGTCTGTGAGAAAAAGAGCACCCTGACGCAGTTCACTCCTCCAGAAATTTGGAAAAGGCATGCTGTATTTTTGGTATTCGCGACGCAATATAAGGACAGTGTAGAGGATTCAGAAAGACGTAGATGAGTCAAATGGTGATTACGAAGGTACGACAGCTCGGAAAACACACGCTAATCGTTCTGATATGAAAAGAACTGAATTTCTTGGTGATGGTCTCAGACACAAGATGGAGGCCTGAATTAAGTGTAGGAAGACCCTATCTGGCAACAGGACTCTGCACCATGCCACACAAGCAGAAGAACCCAGTCACGACTGTTAGACAATTTCTGCGACCACTTTATTCCTTTATCTGGCCACCTAACTCTCCAGACTGCAACTCCCTTGATTATTATGTGTGGGTCGCAGCTGAGCAAGAGACCAAAAAAAAAAAAATAAATAATAATTCTAACGCAACAGATGAACTGAAGGCGAGGATTATAGTAGCATTCACCAACTTATACAAGGAGAATATCCAGAAGATTTGCTGGAGATTCCGAAGTCATCCGTGGAGGTTTTATTGAATAAATTTACTCTTTAGTATTTCAAGATAGTTTTCTGTAAATTTGGTAAATATATCTATCATAAATGAGTTGTTAGTTTTATTTTCATTTTTTTTTTACTTGGATGACAATTTATCCATCGCACCCTGTATATCTGTTAAAATGAGATGCCAGTGTTATTTTCATTTTTTGTGTCATTCGGATGACAATTTATCCATCGCCCCAGGTCGATTTACTGCTTTTAAACAACAAATTTCCCATGATTACTCTCGAACTTTCATTGTATATACAGCATGTTCCAGATTCAACTATTTCAGCGAAATCTACATTTTTTTAAACTCACTTGTTTTTCTGTTCATCATCTATATAATAAATGCAAATATCCGTGGGTCACACTTTTTCAATTAAAGGGACACAACTCCCTAACTTTCAATAGCTCATGTTACAGAAATTTTGGATTCCCAGGTTTTTCATTATTGCGATTGTTTTCGGTGATTTTTAAGTGATTTTTTTTGCGGCTAAATTTTTTGTACGACAACATTTTTTTATAAATGGGAAATAAATTTGGGAATAATCGAAATTAATTGCGAAATCCAGCGAAAGTCACCCATGAAATGAAAATAATTGCTTGTATGGAAAGTATGGAAGGTAAGGACCTACGTACATCAATTTTTTTTTTTTAAATTAAGTAGCGGCAGAAGAATTATAGTTGGACTTTTATACTTAAGTCTATGCTAATTTAACTGATAAACATATATCAGAAAATTTCGTGGATTTATCACTTTACAAAATTTGGGATTCTCTGTTAGAAGTGTATAAATTTATAACTTTATTATGTTTTTAAAATTGGGAAAAATGGAAAGTAAGGACCTACGTACATCAAATTGTGTTTAAATTAAGTGGCGGCAGAAGAATTATCGTTGAACTTTTAAAAGTCAAGTTGGAATATTAATGCAATACTTAAATACAGCGATCAATTTTGAGTTCTTCTATAGTTTATTGTTGCCTACAGTATATAGTCTTCTCAACCTATTCTGATGAAGGCTCTATCAAGAGCCCTCCGCTGAAGCTATCTTAGATGCGGCTTTTAAGCTAGTATTTAATATGTGTTAGAAGCGTATAAATTTCAATTTTGTTTATATCTTTATAGTTTTTTTTTACTAATTTTATTTTCATTCCATTTCAAAACCCTATTAATAAGGATTACACAAGAACTCATCTTTGTTGATCCTAGCACTGGGTTTCTTTGCATGGGTTTTCATAAAAACAGTGCTTTATCGCTAAAAGATCAATAGTATAGCTGAGTGTAGAGAGCGAATTCATTAGGCAGTGCAGGAGGTAATTCCTGAAATGCTTCAAAATGTGTTTCGCAAAGTTAAGCAAAGATTTACAGGGATATGTTGAAATATATTTATATAGTTAAAGTGGTACAGATATTACGTCTTATCGTTTGCCTATGTATCAGAAAATTGTGCCCTGAAGATGACAATTTGAAAGTCGAAAGTACTCAGCATGTGTCTTCCATCTGACAACAACTCGAATATAAGGATCTTATTATTCAAGAAATTGATAGTAAGTTAATGTCTCATTAAGTCTTTTTAGCGAAGTGATTTCACCATTAATCACATTAACATTGCTAATTAATTCTTTGTATAAATTGTTTCTTTATGATATAAAATATAAGTTGCAAACTTTAATATATTTACGAAATCTGATCCGCAGTAGGTATAAATCAGAATCTTAAATTCTCTGGAAAACTGCAAAGACATTTCAATCTACTAATTGGATTATACTTAAGTCCATGCCAATTTAACTGATAAACATATATAAGAAGATTTTG